ATAGATTATTACTATTTAGAAATAAGTTCTTAAAACTTATTCTTTTTAAGACATAGAACAGTAAATAAAGAAGTAAAGCAAACAATTATCACTTCTAGTTATGACCTTTGTACTTGGTTGCTGCTTGACGTAGGCTACTAAGCCTTTTAAAATTTCGCATGTGAATGATATGAAACAAAATAATTTTTTTAGCTTTTATATATGCAGTTGAATAACCAAAAAAATCATAAATTACTATATCAATACCACAGAATCCCACTATAATTTATCAAGCTTAGTAACTAAGCTATATTTGGGTCTAAAAAATATGAAATTTCGAGCAAACTAAAGACACAACCTACCTCCTTGAAATCTTGGTTTGAAAAAACTAGATTGCATCCAAACATTTTAAAGTGTGTGAGAAAGCCACTAGGGGGACATTCTGAGCTTTTGATTGGTTATTCAGGTCATGTATTGAAGTAAGTGTATACAGTGGACCATTTTCAAAATTGGAAAGAGGTGAGTGGGACCACTATTTGATTCAGTACATGAGTGATATCTTGGCAAATAGAAAAGATATGACATTCCTATTTTATATTCTAACTTGTCAATATTGGTAATTTGAGTTCCAAATTTGTACAAAACTATAGACTTGGTATTTTGACATCACAAACATCTAATGTGAACCAGTGCTGCATTCAACATAACTTGTGACACATAAAAATCGATGTTTAACTGTTATTTTTAATATTTACTTTTAAATTAAGAAATTGAATAATGTATAACAGTAAAAATCTGAATTATAATCTACAGTTTGATACCAAACTTCTTGAATAAATTTATGAAATAGTAGTTCAATAAAATCTTGAATGCAAGTCAACAAATGTGATGACATGGCCTTTGACCCGTGACTCGTCTGGAAAGGGTTAACAAGTAGAGGCTTGATAAAAAGATTGTCTTTTTTTGGGGGGGTAAGATCATCCGTTTATAGTACATTTATCTTAGTTGCTTGGAAAGTGGAAGGCCCTGTGAAGTCGTATTATTATTTAGTTGCTTGGAAAGTGGAAGGCCCTGTGAATTAATATTATTATTTAGTTGCTTGGAAAGTGGAAGGCCCTGTGAATTAATATTATTATTTAGTTGCTTGGAAAGTGGAAGGCCCTGTGAATTAGTATTATTATTTAGTTGCTTGGAAAGTGGAAGGCTCTGTGAATTAATTATTATTATTTAGTTGCTTGGAAAGTGGAAGGCCTGTGAATTAGTATTATTTTTTAGTTGATTGGAAAGTGGAAGGCCCTGTGAATTATATTATTATTTAGTTGCTTTACTATCAACACGAAATCTTAGAAATGTTTGTTATTCAAGAATAATAAAATTTGTGTTTGTTGTTGCAATTGGTGGTAGATGTTATTTTTACTGTTTACAGTTGTTGAAACTACATAAAATTACGCTTCAACTATTTATCATGTACTGTTATCGATAAGTGTAAATGAAAAGCATAGGTCCGTTTTGCCTCATTTAATTATAATTATTTTTGTCATCATGCATACATGCTTTTTTTTTCTATTTTGTAACAACAACAGTTTTCTCAAGACATTTTTTTATCTTTTTAACAAAACAAGGCTCATGAGAAAAAATAAAGTAATATTACACTCAACTTACCAGTTTGATGAAACGAGTTGTCTATACGTGAAAATTGAATCTGTGAGAACCGTATTGTGTTTGAATGTTAGGCTCAGTAATTTTGTTTCTGTAAATCAAGTCTAGGAAGTTCTGGTGCATTCAAAATATCAAACTGTGTAATATTTTAAAATATTGTGTTTGTTTGAAGGAGCTAAGGAGTTAAAAAGCAAACCTGTAGCTGAAAAATTAGCATGAACTGTCCCTGCTTTTTTTTAAAATGTTTTCTTTTGCACATAAAGTATTTTATTATAATAGCATGGTTATTATTGTCTATAGCCTGTAAACTAGCTACCAAAAATACTTTCACAATTCGGATAGTCAAATTTCTCACTTTTTCTTTTCTTTTTATCCCTTGCACAAAGTTAAAATTGAACAATGGTTGCCACTTCGCTGCATAGGCGATGTTCTCCTAGACTACACCATCTGGAGAAACTAACATTATTGTCATCTCTCCATTGAATGTAATTAAACACGAGGATGAAATTGTCAAATAGCAGCTCTCATGGTGGGCTGTAGCCTATACTTTTGATTATTTTGTCTTATCTGTTGAGTCTTAATTCTTAGCAAAAAGCTGATTCCTGCTTGTTATTTCTAGAATAGTATTTTATGATTTGTTTTAAATCTTATGATTTTAGTTATTAAATATTATACTATTAAATGCTCACTCTTACATTAGACTCTGGCATACAAAGACAGAACTTGAGTGTTGATGATGATTTTCCAGTTCGAGATGTTGGACCCTTCGTTAAGTTGTCTCAGTCTCAACCCAGCACCCCACAGTCACCCTGCACAAACCAGGTTGGTTGATGTGTGTGTGCTTATATGTCTCTAAGAGAAATAGATGAATTAGATATTTTGAATGATCTATAATAAACAAGAAAGACATTCATGGTTAACTACCCTTTTATCATTCAATTTCTGTTAGTTTGTGAATGAATAGTTTAGATCGGGATTATTCATATCTTTGGAACCTCTCGAACTTCGACGAAAATTATATGTAATAAGTTCATGCCTAGATTAATCACATCTTAGAAACATATTGAATCTTCTTAAATAGACATAATAGTGTTATTTAGTTTTTTTCATGAGTGTGTGAAATGGAAGGTTATATTTATAGAATGTCTTTTTATCATCAGGGATTTGATGGACAATCCCCATCCTCAAACCAACCAGCTGTATCAAAATCTTCCCACCAAACTACCATCCAGAATCATACAACTGTTAATGTTATCACTAACTTGGGATCACCTGGATCCAAGCAGTCTCCACCATCTAATACAGGTAGTCCTGTAAAGCTAGAAAGATCTGCACTGCGGCAGACACTACCTCACCCCTATTCCTCTGGCAGCAAGGATCCCGGTTCTGTGTTAAGAAGTTCTGCTGACATTGCAAAGGTTCGAAACAGGAACTATGAATTATCTAAGCTACATCGTTCTAAACCTGGTAAAGACTCTGAGAAGGCTGTTCCAGACACAGCTTCGGGAAATAAAGAATGTAATCCTGATAGTTCCATCTGGTTTGAGTATGGTTGTGTGTAGCTCGATATATATATTTGTTGGAAAAGGGAAAATTATGTATGTTATCGTTCATAGTCTGTTAGATGTGATAATGTAGCTTACGTAAGTATTAAAACTGAAAACAAGTTTTGTTATGCTAGTTGATAGGAAGTATTGTTTTGTAAACCTACAACTCTTAACGAGATTTGCTTGTGGTTAAATATGCATGCTTGAAGATTGCTTGATTGTGAAAATTAAAAAAACAAAAAGCTAAAAGTTACTTTTATTCGTTACAACATGCAAGTAATTTTGTTGTCATTCTTTACAGTATTATGTGAAAATAATGGATTGATTAGAATGTGTTTTCCATGTTGAGTTAAAACATTTAATGTGGCTTTTTAAAACCATTGTGCATTATATATATATATACATATATATATACAGCTTTGTTTTAGTAAGTGTTATAGCTTTCAAAAGACTGTGTTGGTAAAGAAAATAATACTGATTTTGTTGATAAGCTCTGTTACACTTGGATATATTTTTTTAAATTCAATTTCCAAAACCTGAAAACCAGAAATGCTTAGGTAACTTTTCTAATATATATAAGAAACATATTTAGAAATTGGTTAGATTCTCGATTGTTTATTTCTATAATGGCCTAAGACTTGATCATTCTGACATAAGAAATTATACTTTCTAGCAGGTACCATAATGTATGTAAACATTTTGATAAGTTTGATAAACATTGGTTTTTCATCTATGATTTACAAAGTTCAGAGGTTTCTCTTTCTAAGGAGCTTAGATTTTCTCAACTGTAACTGTTGCATTTTAAGCTGAATTTTCGATATTTACTAACCTGTCTCCAGAATGACTGAAGAGGTACGAGTTGAATGTGAGGGTCAAAATCCGGTTGAGTTATTTAAATAATTACATGCATGGTCTTTAGATACTGAAGTTCACCAAATGTTCTATAATATATTTCAATCTTAGTGGTAGAAATAACATACTCATGAAGAGAATTATGACACTTGTGATGAACACCGTTCTTTAAAAAGGGATGCAGATACACGTTCTGAAATTCTACAGATTCCACCTGTAGTACCTTAGGCACAATATAAAAAACTTACTTCAATCCTTGGACATTGCTAAAATTAAAAAGTACATTGCTACATTTGACCTTAACTGAACAAAAGGGAAGAAGAGTCTGGTATAAGAAGAAATTCTGAGTTTGGTGAATGTGAAAAGATATGTTGTTACCGACCATCAAGAAGAGAAAAGTAGCATATGATAAGACGAGACAACATTCAACGAGTCCTACTAGAGGGTCAATTAGAAGGGAAAAGATACAGGGAAAGACGAAGAACCGATTGGATAACAAATATTAAAGAATTGACTGAGATAGTAAAATATGAAGATCTGGTGAGAAAAGCATAGAACAGACAGAAGTAGATGTTTGTGACAGCCAACCTTCCTGAGGAAGATGGCACATGATGATGATGATGAAGAACAAAAGCCAAAATTCATGGAAAGTGAGTAAGATGAGAAACTAGAATAATAAAACTACAGAAATTAGATGTCACATCATTAATATTATACACATTAAAAAAATGTGCAACTTAAGTGAAGACTGCACATTATTCAGGGTTGGAGAATGCTGTTTGATGTGAGGGTTTCTTTAATCAATAATTCTAGATCAGCAATGGCCTTGCAGAGGATAGTGAAATTAGCTGTATTGAGTTGGTGTCCTGATTCTTCACTATATACAGAAAGTTGATTTCAGATTAGTTTTCAAATCCACATCACACGTACAAAGTTTCTTCCTTACTAAAGACGACCTCCCAATTCCTCGTAGTTCTTGGTTCGTATGTTTTTATGTGTGTGTGCAGACTGTAAGGGCTCCTATAATGGCAAATCCAAATGCCCTCTAAAAGTTAAAGCCAGTGAATGTTTGATAATTTCTATTAAAATGCAAAAACGTCTAGTAACCCCTGTGCCTCCTCTGTATGCCAACATCATGAAAAAGCAGGACACCAACTCAATACAGCTAATTTCACTATCCTCTGCAAGGCCAGTGCTGATCTAGAATTATTGATTAAAGAAACCCTCACATCAAACAGCATTCTCCAACCCTGAATAATGTGCAGTCTTCACTTAAGTTGCACATTTTTTAATGTGTATAATATTAGTGATGTGACATCTAATTTCTGTAGTTTTATTATTCTAGTTTCTCATCTTGCTCACTTTCTGTGAATTTAATTATCATTAAATGTAGCAATGTAATTTTAGTGACATCCAAGGATTAAAGTAAACTTTATATTTTACTTTAGGGACTGAAGATGGAATCTTTAGGGTTCCTAAACATTATCTACATCCCTTTTTGAATAAATAAACAATAAATATGTTCCTTATATCATGATCCTTTTTATTACCACTTTTAGTTTTCCTCTGAACACATCGATTGCTAACATATTCATGTTTGTGAAGTTTGTTGTTCTCGTAGTTCAAATAGACAAAATCTGGTGAAACATAAATCAGTTTTGTACTGATTAAATTTATATTTTTTAATGTTTTTTTATTATTATTATTTCAAAATAATAACTTTTTATATTGAATCTTACAACTTTAACTGTTTAGCTACTGCCTTGGCTCTTGTTATAATTTCATTAAACAGTACGTGTTGTGTGCCAACTGAAAAATGTTTCACAAGGTTTAGTATGAAACCTTGTATGTCACTTCGCAAACTATAAAGCTCATTCTCATATTTCAGTTGACAAAAAACTTTTGTATGTCAGTTAATATATGTAGTAGGTAACTCGTAAAGCCATGTAAAGTCCTCATGTAGTAGGTGACTCATGCTTGGATAAAGGCCATGTAAAGTCCTCGTGTAGTAGGTGACTCGTGCTTTGATAAAGGCCATGTAAAGTCCTCATGTAGTAGGTGACTCGTGCTTGAATAAAGGCCATGTAAAGTCCTCGTGTAGTAGGTGAATCGTGCTTGAATAAAGGCGATGTAAAGTCCTCATGTAGTAGGTGACTCATGCTTGAATAAAGGCCATGTAAAGTCCTCATGTAGTAGGTGACTCATGCTTGAATAAAGGCCATGTAAAGTCCTCATGTAGTAGGTGACTCATGCTTGAATAAAGGCCATGTAAAGTC